ATGATTAATAACAAATGTTATTCAGCAGAATGTTATTCAGCAGTAACAGATCTTATTAGTTATTATTCAATTTGGATAATAAATCTATTATCTCGTCGTATTGATGTTTATTATATAGTGTTTCTCGTTGTGAGCCTTTTTGCCATGACCATAGAAAGATGATGTAATGTCACATCCTGACATGGCATGCAACATTGGTAGTAGACTACAGAACATGTGCCCCCTTTGGTCAACAATACAGTGAATAGGAATAAATCTGTGGTTGTTAGTTGTCCCAGTGGCTTTCCCAGTTTCAATCCATATCTTTTGTGTGTTGATCAGTTTTTTGAAATAGTAAACTGCGAGAACAAGAACATCAGTATCTAGAGATTTAATGACTACTTCATGGTTTCCTGGGTCTGCCTCTTCGTCGAGTTTCATGAGGTGAAATATTACTCGTGTGTCAGCTTCTTCGTGTGAGGATGCTAGATCATCAATACTCTTTTTCTGTTGTTTCGAAATCATCACACATGTTTCACCTTCTTCTTTGAGTCCTCCTGCTATGTAAAGTTTTTGTGACCCAATCAAATGCTTTTGTATAGTGGTCATAACATATTTTGTGATGAAGTCCACAATACAGGCCTTGTTGTCATCAACGTTTAGAAATTTTCTCCAGTCTGGTACCATTCTCTCTGATTTAACCTGATATATCTTTTCATGCCCAGCCATTTTTCTCCTTTTTCTCTCTTCAGCCTTTGGAGAGTCAGCCTTATCATACCTATCAAACACCAGTATCACAGTGCTAGCTAGTCTGAGCCAGCATAGATTTAGATTTAGATTTATGAACTTTATTACACATTCATACCCATAAAAGGTTAAGTGTACACAAAGTAAACACTAATTTTACAATATATCAATACAACAGAAAACAGTACATATAACAACACACAAAATTAACACTTCATAATAAATAAATAAGTAAATAAATGAACAAATAAATATGCATCATGGATAAGCACATGAATGGTGATTGTGATACGCGTCCATTGTTTATGTCATATATCACACCCTTCTATGTTATATTACATTTATGAATAAATTCTGCTACAATTTCAATTTCTTTATTTTCACAAGACATACAATATTGGAAAAAAAGTGAATCGTCCTCCATGTTGAAAAGGTGTTTAATTGGGTTGCCGTGTGATACAAGTTTATCGAGCATTTGCTTTCTATATATACTGTATTTTTTACATGAACGCATTATGTGTTTTTCGTTTTCTATTAAATTGCAAACCTCGCAAATTCTTTCATCGATCTTTAATTTTGGGCGTTCGTATCTACCCGTTTCTATTTTTAATTTGTGGTTACTGATACGAAACTTTGTTAGACTTCGTCGTAAATGCCCATTTGAAATTGAATCTAAATATGGTTCGAACCTGAAATTGCTTTTAAATATTTTGTATGTATTCAGTTTGCGACATTGGTCGGAATTCAATTGATTTCGCCAATAATCTTCAAAACTAATTTTTGATTTACAAACAACTTCGGATGCGTCAATAGTATATTCTTTTACATCTAAAGTATTATTGATATTGCTGGGAGTATCTCCTAAAAATGATACTACCTCTAATTTATCCATTACACTTTTAAAATTCAGCATCCACGATGACTTGTTGTTCTTTGATAAGTCATTTGATGTAGTAAGTGCTTCTGATAATAAGATGTATGACGTATTTAACATGTGATTATAGAAATTAGTAGCTTGTTTGAATATATTTATATATAGTGGGTATTTCCCAAGCTCTCCATAAATTGCCAAATTTGTTGATTTTTTATTTACTTTAAGAATATATTTGCAAAAAGATAACAGAAGTTTCTCAGATGGAAATCGTCTGCCATTTGTAAACCATTCATTCAAATCTTTTGTAGAAAAGTAATTCGACATGCCCCATATTTCAGATCCATATAAGATTATTGGAACTACCAATTGTTCAAAAATCTTTATTCCTATTGAAGGTTTTAAACTTGTATCGCCTAGTGACCTTTTTATTTTATAAATTGCTTTTAATCCTCGGTCATACAGATAGTCCTTGGATTTACTAAACGTACCTGAACTACTTATGGTCAAACCCAAGTATTTATATGATTTTACCGTCTCGATCTCATCCCCATCAAAATGAAATTTTTCTGTACATTTTCTACCATTTCCAATAAATTTCATTATTTTTGTTTTCGATAAATTAATTGACAAATGCCAGTCTTTACAATATTTTGAAAGATTATCTATAGACTTTTGAAGTCCATCTCTGCTCAAAGACAAAAGTAGAACATCATCAGCATACATCAAACAGTTTACTTTTGAGCTTTGTAAAATTGGTGCGTCATTATAACCTATAACCGCTGGCAGATCATTTAAAAACAAATTGAATAGTGTGGGAGACATTGGATCCCCTTGTTTAACACCAGCATTCACTTTTCTAAATTCAGTCCTCTTACTTGAAATACTGTTTTTTATACATATTTTGGTATCTTGATACATTTTTCTAACGATTTCAAAAAACTTTCCTTTTATACCAACTGACAAAAGTTTATACATAAGACCTTCCCTCCAAACGCTGTCAAAAGCCTTTCTAAAGTCAATGAATATTCCATAAATAGGAGATTTTAAATGTTTAACATATTTATCATGAAGCGTTCTGATAATAAAGATATGATCCACTGTTCGTGCTTTCTTCTGAAATCCTATTTGAGCTTTATTCATAATATTATTATGATTTATGAAAACATGCAATCGTGCTGTATAACACACATTCCATCTATTATGTATGATGTGTTATCTGGATCAGAGGAAGGGAAAATAGTCGTTTGATTGACTTGCAAAACCTTGACAAGGTCTGACTTGACATTCTTCCTCATGCTTCCATCATCATGGAATATTGCAGGAGGGGTTATGGTAATTGGATGTTCTAGCATAGTATCTATGTTAACATGAGGTCTTTTGTCGCAAATTGTTAATGCTCTTTGGAAGATGGTTTCAGCACCTTTTGCAACAGCCACAGTCTCTGTCCTTGTTTTAACCTTGGATTTTGGGTGCATGTCACAAAATGTTACAAGTTTGTTTTGTTTTATCGTCTGGTAGAAATTGGTTGATTGTTCCTCAAGAGCTGAGGGTACAAACTGATACATTTTCATCGAACCAGATTTGATAACAGATAAGAGTGAACGTTGTACATCTTCACTTGCATGAACACCCGTTGATATGTTAAGGAGAACATTAGGATGACTATGTACATCAAATGGATTAGTCATTCTGTTCTCTATATGATCTTGGATTAGCTTGACATCATCTTCGTCACGCATCAAATTAGAATGGCACTCTTGTGGATGATGTTTGTGCTCATTTGAAGATTCACTGCATCTATCTTTAAAAGTAGATGATATCCTGCTGAATATATGCCTAGTTAGGCTCCATCTGATCATTGTTTGTGGTTTGCTTGTGAGACCAACTATGCCCCCATCTCCCTTTGCATCTTTAATTACAGTGGTTTCTGTCCCCATATCTGACCAAATTCCATTAAACCCATGACTTGTTTTGCGGATGGAAAATTTTCCTTCTTCAAATGCACTTTGAACAGCTTCTGGTAGGTTCATCATATCAAGGATGTAGATTGAAAATATAAAAAGGTTCCACCGTCGATTTTTTCTGTTATTTATTTACGGAGTTTCGGCTTTTTCTGATATTTTCAGGAATTTCATCGATTTTCACCAACAAAATGTTTTTAGTGCGAAAAAGTATGATCTCGCTATAAGTGTTATTGGGTATGCGAAGCATTTTACAATCGCTAAAAATGATATAAAAGCAATGCCTTTTATTGTCTGAATAGTTTGATTTCCAAGAAAATTCAAATGAGGGTAAATGAATTAAAGCCTTATAAGACTAACATTTGTAAATGGTTCTTGACGCCATGTTGAATTTCAATCGCCTCTATAGTTCAATAAACTTTGATATTATTTGACGTAAAAATCGATGGTGAAACCTTTTTTTATTTTAGATGTTATTAAGAGGCACACAATTCGGTGGCTGTACCGTAGGCTAAAACGATTTTTCTTATACATCTGAGTAATATATGGGAATACTAACCATTTTGATTTCCAAGGTTCTTATATAATATAAATTGCTCATACTAATGGCATTTAGCGGAAAAAGCAAGTTACATGCTAGTTTGCCATGTCTGTAAAACATTTAAATGCTGCCGCATTTGTTATACTGCTGGAATATAACGAACTAAGCTTGAACGAATACAAGAAAACACCCAAATTATGCAATTATTTTGAAAATCAGTGACGTGTAGTTCATTTGTTTGTTTAATTGTTGATGGGGCAATGTGCCACTGACGTGTGGGAATAGCATGACGATTAGATATTTCAAAGTTTCGCGTTTGAAAAGTGATGCCGGTGACTGAAATTACGATAAAAATGATATAGCGACGCAACGAGATATTTGTAGTTTTCTTCGAAAAATAAACATCAAATGTAGAAAATAGTAAGGCATGCATGTCCACTTCACCCTGGTAGCTTAACATTGGATTCGTATATGTCATACAATTAATATTTGAAATACAACTATTCTTCTAACTTATGATCGGACATAAGGATGATGTGTACTTCAAGGTAATATGGTAAAATCATTCTTATGTCCAATCATAAGTTCGAAATAGGAATTTTCGATACCTTTATATGATACATAATTATATTTATTAGTTTTAGACCCTTATATGAGATTTTTAGTCGTTATATACCACAAACTTCCATTTTTCAAAAATCTACCACAAAAACTCAATGAAAATGAACCGTAAAAACTAAACTTATTTTCACAAAGCTTCCGTTAAAACTCTCGCTATTTACAAGAAAAACTCCAGCAAAAACTACCGGATTTGCGAAAAGTACCGCAATTTTCAAAAAAATCTCCCGAAAAGTTTTCATTTTAGTTTGGCAGGTCTGGTAATAGAGATAGTACTTACATACTCCAAATTCATCCTTTTCATGTCCTTGGAAGCAAGTACATGAAGGAAGACCAAATCCATCAAGGTTAGTGTTACAAAATGAATTGGGATCACAAAAGATAGCATTGTCTAAACAAAGATCAGCAATACCTGGAATATAATTTGATGTTGGTGTTAATTTTTATTTCAATACAATGTCATTGACGTGAGATTTAGCAACAATATTTTACTTATGTATGTCGCTTTAACTGTAATAATATTCTTAAAATGTTCTTCAGGCGGCTCGATTATTAAATCAAAAATTAAACTATTTTCCTCTTTTCACAGTTTTTCTGCACCTATAAAGACTTTCTGCGATTTACCTCATTATGTTATTCTAAGCAAAGAAAATACTATTTAGATTTCCTACCATTCTTAATATTCATAACACAAATGATTAGGAATGCCAACCATATTGCCCGAGAACGCTTGGGTCGTGCCATTTTAATCTGGAAAGCGAAAACAAAATAAATACAGGTAAACCACATCTCATGCCACTTTAATTTGGAGAAGAGACGAGATTGAACAGAAAATCACATCTTGAATGAGTACTATTTAATCTGGAAAACGAAACCATTTGTTGATACCGTTTTCACCTATACTAGGCAATTAAGGTGTGTCCGATTTCATTTGATTGATGGTACCATTTTACTCCGGAAAAATAGCACAGTGGATCTACAGATTTGCCGATACAATTTTATTTGGGAAAGCAAAAGGAATTGTACAATGATTTTTTTTATTTATTATTCTATTCAAACATTACAATCAAGTACAATAATTGGAACAATTCAGATATTTTCACACCACCTTGATTCATTCAGATATTTGCAGCAGTCATACTTTTAAGTTCAGGTACATACTAAAATGTTTTTTTTCAAATTGCGCCTCATACAAATTTTGATTCACTTCGTCGAACTCTTTTATGAAAATATAGTACTTAATTGCAAGGGTAAGTCTATTTGGTAAGATATTATTCTCATTAGCAATTGCCTTCCAAAAACCATGTCACGGGCATTTAAATCGAAATCAACTTTAAATAGACGCTTTAAATTCCCTTTGATTGCTTTCAGAAATACAGGGTGACCGGAAAAAAAGGAGACCATTGAAGTAATCAATTTCTCCTAAACTAGACAAGTGCCATCAATGGAATTTTGCATACACTGGAACAGTTATATGGAAATTTGTTACTGAAGGTTTCAATACAAGCATTCAACTGGTTCAGGAGCTATGATCATTTACATAACATGCTCCAAATAGGCACAATTGAGACCAACGCAGAGTTGGATTCATATGGCAAACTACCCTTACATGTTCTGCCCTCTATGGCATTATTATGGCATTACATATAGCAGTGATTGCCTTCTTTAGGTCAACAATAGTCTGAGGATTGTTTTGGTATAGATTGTCTTTCAAATATCCATACAAAAAGAAATCAGCAGGATTCAAGTCTAGGCTGTAATGGCAATGAAGGGTTATCTGACATGTGGTTCATCATCCTGTTGCCAAAGTGCTGATTTACCAAATCTTAAGAGTCACTTTAGGTATTGGGCATAGTGCCATGTTACTAAAACCCCTATATGGCACAATTAAATCCCATATGGAAACCAAGGGCTGCCCAAAACCTCCTTAGGATGATACTGTAACTGAGTGGGACCACTGAGTCAGAAGCCATAGGTCAGATAAGCTTCGTCTCCATACACCTCAAATTTGAATCCACCTGATTTCTTTTTGTGGGGCAATTTGAAAGACAATGTGTACCAAAACAATCCTGAGACAATTGCTGACCTAAAGGTGGCAATAAATGCTAAATGTAATGCCATAATAAGGTCGGAATATGTAAGGGTATTTGCCAAATGTATCCAGCTCTGCGTTGGTCTCAATTGCGCCTATTTGGAGCATGTTATGTAAATGATCATAGCTCCTGAACCAGTTGACTGCTTGTATTGACACTTTCAGGAACAAATTTCCATAGAACTGTCCTGATGTATGCAAAATTTCATTGATGTCACTAGTCTATTTTAGGAGATATTGCCTATTTCAATGGTCTCCTTTTTTTCCGGTCACCCTGTATTTGAATCCTTTTGCACTTCCAGAATTTGTGTTTTAACGTATCTCGAAAGGCACAATAGTTACATTTAGAATCATTTTTAATGCCTATCTGTGCTAAAAAGGCATTTGTAGTACAGATACCATGAAGTATTTTAAATTGAAGTTGTTTATTCTGTTTCGTACACATTTACATGTAAGGCATTTTAAAATAATCGGTTCTCTTTAATTCACGATCATGTTTGTCTTTATATAACGGTTCCAAGAACTTGTTTCCATTTAATACTGTTTGATACAAATTTTGATTTACTTCGTCGAACTCTTTTATAAAAATATAGTACTTAATTGCAAGGGTAAGTCTATTTGGTAAGATATTATTCTCATTAGCAATTGCCTTCCAAAAACAATGTCACGGGCATTTAAATCGAAATCAACTTTAAATAGACGCTTTAAATTCCCTTTGATTGCTTTCAGAAATATTTGAATCCTTTTGCACTTCCAGAATTTGTGTTTTAACGTATCTCGAAAGGCACAATAGTCACATTTACATGTAAGGCATTTTAAAATAATCGGTTCTCCTTAATTCACGATCATGTTTGTCTTTATATAACGGTTCCAAGAACTTGTTTCCATTTAATACTGTTTGAATTGATTTAATCGTTATTTTAGAAATTGTCACCTCTTTTTCACCAAGTTTCAAATACACGAGTTCTTCCTGTATGCTGGGTTCAAAGGTCGAATTTAAATCCGATTTCAATAAACGTTTCCAATCATTCGGTATAGCCTATATGATTGAAAAATACTCAAGAAATATAAATGACTCTCTTTTCCATGACATGTTTGTACATCACCTCCTAATCATTAATTAGGATTGATTTGTTATTCAAAATTATTTCCCCTTCAACCTCTGAACTGGTTCTAGGCGGCGACATATTTCTTAATTCTGAATAGTTTCGAAGCAAATTCATATAAAAGGTAGGAACATTGTGTGCTAGTCTTTTAATATCATAATTACATTGCAACAAAAAACTCAGTCCTCCAAGACGCTTGAAATAAACTTGAGGAATAAGCTTCAAGTGGCTAGTTCGTGTGTCAAGTAGACGTCTTAACCACATAAATTTCAGGGCTTTCTACATTGTGAACATATTGAAACTTCGAAACTGCCTGGGACTTGATTATGAGTACCTTTCCATAAGAAGTAAGATATACAAGGGCCGAGCAATATATTCGCTACTTTTATTTTCTTTTATATTTGTTTATTTCCATTGAAATTTGGTACAGACATAGAGTGTAGAATTCCGCATCTTCTGATTCCATTTTCAAGCCCATTGTCAAATATGGCAAAAAATTATGGTTGTCATAGCAACGGGAGGAATGAGCCACTGGAGCTGCCCAGAATTTTACTGCAATTGCACATGCAACACTATCTTTATATGCCCATTTCTCATAACAAAAACATTCAGTTTGGGTAATTTTTATAAACATTGTTTACTGGACATTGATCCAATATTCAGAACAATGGTTGTGATGTCATAGATGTTCTTTTCAAACAATAAAGAGGTCACAATTGATCCGCATATACATCACAAAAGAGAGACTCTGCTTCCTGAGTTGCAGGTCTTGCGAAAGAACTTCATGGATGCAGTTCGTAAAAAGCGCCCAGTATTGATCAACCATATGATATATCATCAAGATAATGCTCCATCACACAGGGCCCGTGAGGTAACTGATATATCAGCAGCTCTAAACATTGAAAAATTTGATCATGCACCATACAGTCCAGACCTTGCATTGTGCGACTTTGAAATTTTCGGCAAACTGAAGAATGAGCTACGCGGGCAGAGGTTTGGTGACCGTGAAGAAGTGGTTGAGGCCGTCCATAAGGCCCTAAAAGACCTATATGGAAATGGAAACGGACTGCAACAGGCCTATCAAGACTGGCTTTCCCGATGTAGAAAATGCATAGCTGCAGATGGACACTATTTTGAGAATGAGGCATGGAATGAGGAGTAACTGTCTTAATTAACAAAAAGCATGTTTATCCAAAATGATGGCATATTCTATACTTTCTATACTTTCGAACTGCTTTTTTAAATGATACTTTTTTCAGTCTTAGACGATTGGACTCTCTAAAGTCTATACATGTCTATACTTTCTATACTGTCTATACTTTTGATTTTGGTGAATTCCCTATATCTATACTTTCGATACTTTCTATACTTTACATTTTGGTGAAATCCCTATGTCTATACTTTCGATACTTTCTATACATTGTAAAACAATATGTGACGTCATAAGTTTCTTGGTCACTTTCGATTTTGGTGAATTGCCTCAATGTATTGTAAAACAATATGTGATAGAAAGTATAGAAACTATAGACATCTAATTTGTCAAAGACAGTTTTGTGAAAAGCAGATAGAAAGTATAGAAACTGTAGACATCTGAAGACAGTTATGGGGAAACGCAGATCGAAAGTATAAACAGGATCTTAAGAGGTTCTGGACATATCATTTGATTCTGGACTTGTCATATTTTTTTTTCAACGAAATCACATCCAAGGGTTGAATTTTTATTAGCTATTTAGAGAGTGAGTCCTGCCTAGTATTAATTTCAATAAAAAAGTTAAAATAGAACCCTATTTGAGAGTCAATCTAATACTTACATTACATTGATAAATTAAGGCAAATCCTGAAATATTTTTAAAGTGCGTTTTTTAATGAAATATTATCCAGCAAGTATTTAAATGAAACGGTCTTATTTAAATACAAATCATAACATGATATTTTTCATGAAACATTTTTCAATGAAATTCAATTGAAGGGTCAAGATAAAACGAGCTAATTTAGGTGAAAACCCTTACATGATGATGTGTTTTCATAACTTCTTTCATAAAATTCCATCAAGGGGTGAAGATAAAATGATCGAATTTAAGTGATTTAAGGATCACGAGAATATGTTTTCTTTGATATTTTCTATGAAATCCCATCCAATGGTCAAGGTAAAATTTTGATTTTGATTTTGATTTGATCACGTGTTCGAAAGATCCATATAAGGCCCATAGAACCATATAGGAACGTCATTTTGAATGTCACGTGATAGATCCATATAAGGCTTTTAGAACCATTTATGGAAAGATGAGGGAAGCCCCTGACACCTGTTTCACGATTTTTATGCACTTCATTATTGTACCGAAGTTTGCCGATTCGATTCGTCGTATTTCGGAATCCTGGTGACAATTTTATACTCCATTGGAGTATTTTTGACCTACTTCTTATGACGGAAATTCCCGAACCTTGTTCGGATTAATCCGGATTTTCTGACCTACTTTATCTACCGAGATTTCACGAGTTAACATTCGTCTCATTCCGGAATTCTGGTGACAATTTTATACTCCATTGGAGTA